CTAAGCTAAGCTAACCGGCAGCTGGCCATAGCTTTACATTTATTGTAATCTAAATATCTTAAGGATAAAGTGCATCTAAATAACTGTAATAGCAGGAAGTGTTTAAACTGACTGATAGTTACAACAGATAATTTAACAGTTTTTACTATTTTTACCATTTCTCAGCCAAATATACGTTCAACTAATCCGGGGGATTGGAACTGTCATTGAAACCACATTAAACTAACCAAGTTTAGTGTTTTATTTTTATTATTTTGGTGGATGAAGCACTAAAAGGCAGAAAACATATCAGTTAGTTAACAAGAAATTAAGATGATAGATAGTGAGAAAATCACAAATCCTATTTCATTTCAAACTGTTAAATTACGGCTTTAACAACCCTTCATGTGGAGGTGAGCAGCAATGGAAAGTAACGTGCAATATTTCTTATTAAATACAAACTCTGTCATGTACTATCCCTTACCAAACACACACATAAAGCTTTGTCTGTATTCATCCTCTGCAACTTATCCAAACCAACTCCAGCCACCCGCTCACAGTGGCCAGGCTCAATCGATCCAAATTACCCACTGTTTGGCTGCTTGAGTTCCTTCAATGCCCAATCAATCCCCTGCAATTGACAGTTTTAACGTGCTCCACCACACACCAGGTCTGTGTGTGCACGTATGTTTGTGTGTGTGCATGAAAAAGAAAATCTTAAGGGAGCACCGCTCTCAATCTTATATTACGCTGGGTGTAGCGATCATACAACAGTGTGACAAGAAATATGGAGATAGTGCTTGTTTGGTTGTCCAGATCGATACTATTGAACAGGGATTAGCTGAAGTAATATTGGCTGCTTTCAGGTTGGGGGAATGGGCTATTTGCTGAGTTGATAGCAAACAGGCTTAAAGGTTTCTGATAACATAATGATCATTTAATATCAGTCTAAGAAAACAATCATAGCACAGGCAGAGCTGCAGAAAGGAGACAGAGGAGAGACAACAAATATTGCACAAATTGTAATAAATCTGGTAGTTTACACTGACACTGAGTTCAGGCTGGAGTTTGACCCACTTGTCACCCAACATGTGTGAGGACTGGCAGCAAGTTTAATAATGGCAGGCCAGTAGCGTTTATAATAAAAAAGAGAAAACGAGATTATGCAGAAGCTCCAAGGTCACATACTGCACATTTTTAATAATGAGTGTCTAAATATGACACGGTTTCTTGGGGAACTGGAAAATCAGAAGACCGCTAGCAATTACACTATAACTTTTTTGTAATTACACAGTAATTGAATACATAATGCTCTGTTTAGCTTGTTTGTTAATGTCAACAAATGACATCAAAAGACCAAAACCAACAAGGCTTTTTTTAATTTTTCAACTTCTTAATCCTGTCTGTGGCTTTTCAGCCGCCAGTCCATTGGTTCCATGTAAAGACGCAGATATTTAAAAACAGCTCATAAACATGTACTTTCATTCATTTAAAAGGTTAAATCATTTCCTAATATAGCAGGCAACTTGTTTTCAGCTAACATTATTCGAACAGGAGGAAATAGTGCATTTGTTTGGGGACTTTGTTTTCAGCAGTGGATTCATCTTTTGGTTCTGTTGTTAGTTACTTGGGGCAGAGTCAAAATAATGGTAAAAAAATTAATGTTAATGAAGGAACACGTCACCCAGTGCAACAGTGTGGCTCACTGATGTGTTTTTAATCATTTGGAGCTTTATTGCACAGATGAAGGAGATATATTAGTCTTTGGATACACTTGCAAGTAGGTTAAATTCATTGTAGGTTTAAGTTTTTTTTCATGGAATTTGTTGACAATAAGACAAATATAGATTTTAATATCACATTTGCTGTCAATGTTATAAATAATAGATTTTATATCTGAAGGAGTTTTTGCTACAAAAATATGTAGTATACACTAGTATACAACATGTGCTGGAACACAATATATACTGATATGGCTAAATAAAACAAAACTGTCCACCTCTAGTGTGTCAGCGATTAAACAGACCATAGTCTATGTTTACTTGTTGGATGACCAGCAGGATCAGTATATTCTTAATGGCTTTTGGATGAGTACACAGTGGAGTGTTTTACACGTGTGGCACTAATACTCACCGATGGTGTTAAAGCAGTGGATGTTAAGGCTCGCTGGGCTTCGTTCTCCTATATGGATCTCCTCCAGGCTGTGGTCTGAGCTGTTGGTCAGTATGACCTGTACAGCCACCATACTGGGCTGGTACAAACAGGGCTGCCGGGGGAAATGATACTTGGCTGACAGACCTTTTCCTGTCATATGGTGAAGCAGCTCATAGGTTTTCACAGGGCCGAAAGATGGAGTGGTGACCTAAAAGGACATATGAAAGAGAGGGATAAACCTCACTGATTCTGAAGTGTACAGAAGTTTTGTGCAAACAAACAAAGCTGAAAAACAAATCAAACTTCTTGATTATCAGAGAAATAAACTGTAGTATGGTCTAGATGATGGGATTGATGAACAACTAAGCACTGCTGGAAACAAAAGCCTGAGTGTAGAAGCAGAGAAGGAACATGAGAAAACAGCAGAACATTGCCCAGGAGCATAAAGCTCTCCACATCAACATGATATCCAGGGACGCATTGTACATTACAGCGCAAATGCATCCACACAAGAGCCCAGTTTAATACAAGAATCTCCGATCTTTTCATCGCCTATATTCATGCAATTCACCGTGTCCAATCAGCAGGCAGAATGCAGCACTTCTGAGTGGAGAGGGACCACGAGTTGGCTGATAACGCCCCACCAACCCTCCCTTCATTAACTCTGTAGGGTAAAGAGGAGCCCATTTAAGAAATGTCTTCAATCAGCCCAGTTAGATGGAAATGGGCTGGATGCTCGGTCAAACCAGGCTGAATAAAAACAACCTCTAATGAATAGAAACACAAGTGTGTGCATGGGCCAAGCCTGCCATTCGCAGGGCTTTTTAAAAGGGGCTTTTACCTCTTCAGAGGCAGGAAATTGCATTACCTTTTGAAAGATACGGTAAAGAAAGGAGGCGGATGTGGTGGTGGCGTATTTGTTCTCCTACAAAAATTAACATCTTGTTACTTGGATGAACATTGTACACACGTGGTGGTTTTCACTTTTTCACTCGATGATGACAACTGTCAGCTCTCATTAGAACGATAAGGTGCGTCTGCCCACACAATGCAATACAACGCACTTAACATATTTCACTGTCAAACACAAGAACATTCACATCTAGACACACCTCTGATGCATCTATACACACCTCTGCTGCATCTATACCACTACAAACTAATAAAAAACATCACAAAAGCATGACAACTCTGAGTTTCTTCAATCTTCCCGAAGAGTCAGAGGTCTGTCTCTTTGTCTGTCTGTCTGTCTGTCTGGAGTGACAGCACTAATTGGTTTAGGAAGGATACAGCCTGTTCACACCATCCAAAACACTTAGCACCTGACACAGAGGCAACAAGTATCTCAACCTGGAGTTCAGAGACAAAATAACTGCTATTTACCACCTTAAAGCGATAAAAAAAAGTCTAACTAACTAACTAACTCTCAAAGAAGTCACAAAAGTGACTAAGAGGAGGGCAAAAACAGTGAGAAATATGTTGCTTTATACTGAATAAAAAAAACCCCCAAAAAAAACCAGATGCTGTAAATAACATACTTAAATGATTAAGCAAACTAATTAAGCTAATTGAATATGACTAATAATATGATATGAAGAAACACAGTGGAAACATGCAGGCATGATGGTGCAGCTCACAGTGTTAAGTGGTGTCAGTGTACATTGTTTTATTGACGCTGGACGAACGTGCACTGTGTTCAGACTCGGGTGAGAAATGTTCGAGACATCCTCCGACTTGTCATGTGGTGTGTGAGGATGAAGAATCGGTTTGACATACAGGAGGAGCTGCGGAGATGAGCTTTAATGTGCTCACTTTAAAGGGGCGAGAACACTTCACCATCACTGCACTGTAACCGCAAGACATGAGCAGGTTTGATAGTTAAATTATGCAAAAGATTAGATATATTTACTATTTTATCATAAAACATGACGCTACTTCACCGAGCTTGAGGCTATCAGAAACTGCAAGGTATAGAAAATTGGCCTCGAAAGCCTGGCTCAGAGTCCTGTTTACCTATTCTTTGATTAGATATTTACTGGCCTATTCATCACATCAAAAGAGGTTGCTTATGTCAGACAATTCTTAGACAAATGAGGCTGTTTGTGTAGTTCAATTCTTATATTCTAATTGCCAACAAATGCCACAAAACTCTTAACGAGTATTGCCTGTTAGCCGTCAGCTTGAAGTAGCTTATCCTATTTTTCTCTGTGTTTGGAAATGTACAACAAGCAAACTGTCAGCATAAGAAAGTTACTAACCTTTTAATTTTATACATTATTCATAAATGCACATTTAAAAGCCAGACTTCTTGGTTTTTAAAAAGGAGGTCCAACAGAACATTGTCTCCATCTGCTATCCAATACATGTTTCATTCAATCCCCTCTGGGTCTTTGTAAACAGCATAATGTATACTCTATTTATGGTCATTTTATGACACAAGAAAGTCCCTGTGTGTCAATCAAAAAGGGAAAAAAACAACTGAATGTATTTGTTTTCAAAGAGTCTTGCATAGTTGTGAACAGGAGCTGAGTTTAGGTATCATACTGGCACCAGTATAAAACATTTTAAAACAGGCAGCACAAATCACATTAAATACAGAATAAACTGTCCGATCACACCTCTATCTTTCAGCCCCCCACCCCAGACAGAAGCAGCGTCTCAAGCACCTTTAAAGGAGGTCAAACAAACATTTGTCGCTGTGCTGTAACGCCGCTGCGCCCTCACAAGCGCCCGTCACGCCACCACCAGCCTGCAAATTTATTGGGCCACTTTTGGATGTGTCAGAGCAGTCGGTGTCGATAAAGCTGGCCATAATGTTTGCCACCCCATCACAACAGAGATTTACCTCCCTGACAGACACATCCTGCTTCAAGGTCCTGTCTGTCTGCCTCGCCCCGCGTCAGCGGCAGCGACAGGAGGGAGGGACGGAGACAGGACGCGGCTTCAAACTGCTTATCATCACCAATTTGACACAGTGGACAGTTAAAGCTTGACACAAGTGCCCACACGAGCCCCCTTCACTCTTCCATCCATTGTTGTCCTGTTACGCAGCACAAGCCCATAACACCTCAAGTGTAAATAAGAGAAGAAGAGGGATGTAACCTTGACTTCTCTGTCAGTCTCCCTTTCTGTTTTTTTTTTTTTTTCTCTTTTGGCTTTGGCTCCCATTCTCTACCCTGGACAGGAAGGAGGGAGGTGACAATGAAGGAGGAAGTTGATTGAGGGGCTCTATTATGCATCAACTTAAAGGAAGCTCCTGTGATGGATGACACAGACACCAGTCACCTTCAGAGCCCGGACGCCACGCTCCCAGCATCCTTTCTGGCAAATGACCTGAAAATCCCGCTGACATATTCAAAAGGGCTAACCGTAAGCTGGGTAGCCTTGTGCCGTGTGCATAAGAAGGCCAATTTAAAAGAAAGTGGCGTGGGGGGTACAGAGATGTATGGGTGTATATTGAAAATCCATTTTTGTTTTTCAGACACCGTCTGCCTCCAACAGCAGGGACAGGATTTCATTATGCTCTACAAGAGTTGTGAGGATTAAGGTAAGGGACATGTGTTTGACTTTAGGGCCTAATTGTTCCCCTCAGTCAGGAGATGACAATTAATTGAGGGGCGTC